TTTTATTATAATTTAATTAAATTTTAAAAACAAACTAATTTATTTTTGGTTTAATAAAATAATAATTACGTATTTTTTTAGAACTCAATGATTATCTTAATTATATTTTAGATTTTTTATATTTAAAATGATTTTTATCATGTATTTGATTATGTTTATCTGCAGTTAGTTATACGAATTCAAACATGAAGCTTTAATAAGTTTTACTTACGTATAATCAACTTGAAATCTTGAATTTTAAGTAATATGTATCAATAAGCAGTACTTTATGCATAAAAAATTGTTTTTAAGAGTTTTTGTCAAATGTTTTATAATATAGTATGGATATAGATATATTTTAGATATTTCATATTTAAAATAAGATGTTTATCCTTTATTTGATTATGTTTATCTGCAGTTAGTTACACGAATTCAGATTTGGAGCTTTAATAAGTTGTACTTACGCATAATTTACTTGCAATCTTGAGTTTTAAGTAATATGCATTATTAAACAGTACTTTATGCTAAAAAAAGTGGTTTTTAAGAATTTTTGTCAAATATTTTATAATATAGTATAGATAATAATCAATTTGAAATTATTTTAATCAATATATTATATCTTTTTAATTTTTCACCATCTTGTTTGTATTAATTAGTTAATATATTATATTATTGAAGGTTTATTTTAATTATACTTTAAAATATTAAAATTGATTAATTTTTTAAAATATTTTTTGATTATTTTATATTTTTATCAGCTAGTTTTGTCAATCATGATTTGTTAATCAGTTATTAGCTATCTTATAAGCCAACAACTGACTTATCAGCTACCAACTAGTTTATCAAGTAATTTGCTAAACATATCATTAGTATTCAAGGAACCTAATCCCCCAAAATTGGAGGGAGGAAGAAATATAATTTCTTTTGTTTCTAAAAAACTCTTAAACCTTTAAATCTATACTATATTATAAAATATTTGACAAAAATTCTTAAAAACCATTTTTTATGCATGAAGTACTGTTTATTGATGCATATTACTTAAAATTCAAGATTACAAGTAAATTATGCGCAAGCACAACTTATTAAAGCTTCATGTTTGAATTTGTGTAACTAACTGCAGATAAACATAATCTAAAGGATAAACATCTCATTTTAAATATAAAAAATCTAAAATATAATTAGGATAATCATTGAAATATAACAAAATACTTAATTATTATCTTTATGAATAAATATTATTAAACCGAAGATAAAAAATGAATTAAAGAAACACACTAAAAAATTTAATAGTTAGTTTGGTACTAATATCAATATTTTTTTTTCAATTCTTTATGATGTCTTCATATTTATATCTTATTTAAAAATAAAAAACATTATCGTTTTCTCAAAACTATATAAAATCGTATTATAACATCGACTGAGATAAAAAAAACACAAACATTAAAATCGAGATGTATCTCACTACATTATACGAGTACCTTCTAGTAAAAATTAAATGAAGAGAGAGAAATATATTTATTTATATAATTAAATATATGTATAAAATAATTAATGTTGGAATTTTTAGAATAGAAAGTTTATTGGAGTTGAATACAATTTTTGAAAACTTTGACTACTGATTCTCTTTTTTGTAGAAATTATGGATAAATGTCAAATATGCTATAATAAGTTGATTGTTATCTGACAATATAATTGTTAGCTGATAAGGCAACTGATAAATTTTTTTATATTTAGTACAAAATAATTGATAATGTAAAAATATCCTAAAAATAAATGTTGAAAAATTACTCAATTTCAACATAACAAACATAATTGTTTGAAAAATAACTCATATATTATTAAAAGAATGCTGGCAACTGTAAACAAGCTTATCTCAAGAATTTTTTAACATTTTCTTTCAATTACATCCTTAATTATTATCTATTGTTATTAATATATATTAGAAGGGTACTCACGTAATGCAACGAGATACATCTTGATTTTAATATTTCGTTTTGTCTTGTATCTCAATTGATATTATAATATGGTCTTATGTGATTTTGAAAAAACGATAATGCTTTTATTTTTGAATAAAATATAAATGTGAAGAAACCATAAAAAATTGACAAAAATATGTCGATATTAATATTAAATTAACTATTTGTAATTTCTTATTTTTTATGTAGTTTTTTAATTCAATTTTTTCTTATAATTTAATTTAGGTTCAATAACGAAGTAATTCATCTTTGGTTTAATAATATAATTTTTTATAAAAATAATAGCTAATTATTTTGTTAGAACTTAAAAATTATCTTAATTATATTTTTGATTTTGTATATTTTAAATGAAATGTTTATTCTGTATTTGATTATATTTACCCACAGTTAGTTACACAAATTTAAACATGAAACTTTAATAAGTTGTGTTTATACAAAATTTACTTGTAATCTTGAATTTTAAGTAATATGCATCAATAAACAGTACTTCATACATAAAAAATGGTTTTTAAGAGCTTCAATAAGTTGAGAAATGTTTTATATATCTATATTATATTATAAAGAATTTGACAAAAACTCATAAAAATTATTTTGTATGCATGAAGTACTGTTTATTGTTGCATATTACTTAAAATTTCAATATTACAAGTAAATTTTGTATAAATACAACTTATTAAAGCTTCATGTTTAAATTCGTGTAATTAACTGCAGATAAACATAATCAAATACAGGATAAACATATTTTTTTAAATATAGAAAATTTAAAATATAATTAAGATAACCATTGAGTTTCTAACAGAATGTTTAATTATTATCTTTAATAAAAAATATTATTAAACAAAAAATAAATTATTTTGTTATTAGACTTAA